AAATGACACTAATTTACCTTTCCAAATCCATCTGGTAACACTCTCCCTCAGTTTGCCTGAAATGTGTTGTATTATTTTCGTATGGATGTTGTAACAAATTGCCACAGTGTGATTTAGTTCTCTTACCATTAAGGAGCCCCGGTGCATAGTAATTAAGTACTCAGTCGCTAACCAAAAAGTTAATGGTTCAAAACTCCCAGCCAGTCTGTGGGAGACAAGTGTGGTAGTCTACTTTCATAAAGATTACAGCTTTGGAAATCCTCTGACCTGCAGTGCCTGGTCACTACGTGTAGAAATTGACTTGCCGGCAACGGGAGCATGTGTATATCCTGGATACTGGAAGTCTAAATGGTTTGATTGTCTAAAACCAATGTGCCAGTAGGGCTACTCTTCTTCCAAATATTCTAGAGGAAAATCTGTTTCCTTGTCTTATCATCTTCTAGAACTCTACTTCTTGGCTCACGGTCCCCTCCTCTGCCTCCAAAGCCAACATTGCAACATCTTGCTGCAACAGTAACATTGCCATCTTCTTTGTCACCACACCCCCTGTGCCTTCTTTTCTAACAAGGATACTTAGGATTACACTTACAGCTCACTTAGATAACATCATAATGTTGCATTTTAAGATCCTGAATCTAATCACATCTGCTATCTACAAGGGTAAGTATAAAAAAGTACTGCTACCGGGGTTCCGGTCCTAAGCACTTGTTTATTTCAAGCAACACATGCCTCTGTGATCAGTGGATGGCTACAGACAAATTCTCTCAGTGGTACACTTGTCGTAATCTAATAATTAGGGTGCCTTTGTGGGGAAAGATCTTTTGAGATCAAGGCTAATACCTAATTTTTAACAAAACTCAAGTTAGTATCTTCCCAAATCAACAAAACTTTGCACCAACGTTATGAGAATGTCGCCCCATCTAAAACTAAAGCTTTATATGAGCCATAAAAGGAAAGACAGTCAATCTTGACAAATGAAGAAACTGCGGTTGAAGTCTAGAAGCTGGTGGAAGAAGACCACAGAATTACTACTGATTTTGGAATTTCACAAGGTTCAGCATTTTAAAGTGAATTTCTTGGTCTAAGCAAGCTTTAGGCTCCAGGAGTGTCAAAAGTTGAGTGTGAAGATTAGTTAGCACTAAAAGACAAATATTATATAAAACACTATTATAAAATTCAAGAAAAAATTGAAGAATGGAGGGTAAATCATTAACGGAAGTGTTCACAACAAACTCATTGCCATGGACTGTGAGGACTCTTAGTGACCCCTTGTGGGGTTCTGAGATTGTTTATGGAATAGTTGCTTACGACAGTAGAAATCCCAATTTTTCTCCCAACTGGAGGGTAGGTACATCTTAAGAACCAAAAAGGACAGCTAGCTCAAGGAGTTGGTCTTTCCATCAGCCTTTTTAAAAAGATTGATGCTAACGAAGAGGTGTTTATGAAACAAATCATAACTAGGGACAAGTCTTGGATTTATAAATATGAAGTAGAGAGGTACAACCAAAATAGTGGCTTCCAAAGGATCTACTGGGTCAGTTAAATTCAAAGCAGAAAGGTCAGCTCAGAGGGTGTGGCAACTGTTTAGAAATTTCAGAGGGGTAATTCTGAGAGTCCACCTTTTGTCTCTCAGTTTGTCACACGTGTAGTGGCTTGTGTACTGCTGCGATGCTGGAAGTTATGTCACCAGAGTTTCAAATACAGCAGGGTTCCCCAGATGAACAGTTCCAGTGGAGTTTCCAGATTAAAAACAGGCTATAAAAAAGGAATAGGCCGTTCACTTCTGATGACTTCATCCATGGGTGGACCTTGCTTTATTGACTTCTTTTGTTCTCTTGGTTCTTGCGTCCCCCTAAATTCACCACAAATGCTCTAAAAATAGGGGCTGTGTCTGTTTACTTTATCCACTGATTATGAAGCCAGTTCTTGAATCATGGCAATCCCATTCTAATTTTGCTCTATAAGGGGTTCAAGAACTAACAGGTTTCATAAATACATTGCCATGACTTCCTTCAGAGGTAACACGAAAGGCCATGAACCACTAATTTTCATCTAGCAACCAAAGACATTAACCATTAGTGCCACTCAGGGAATCCTCAAATACGAAAACAAAACAAAAACTCACTGCATCATGTTGATTCTGACCCATCGTGACCCTAGAAGAGAGCGTTCCGGCCTCAAAGGGTTTCAAAGACGATGTAACTCTTACAGGAGTAGAAAACGCCACCTTTCTCCCAAAGGATGGCTTGGGCTTTCAAATTGCCTACCTGTGGTTCGCAGCCCAATGTGTGACACACTGTACCACCAGGATTCCCTCTTTTTCAAATGTGACTAATTAATAACTAATTCCGAAATGAATGTTAAGACTGTTGCTGGGTGCCATGGAGTCCATTATGATTCGTAGTGACCACATGTTACAGAGTATAACTGACCCATGGCCTTTCCAGGCTGTAAACTTTAAGGAAGCATATCAGCAGATCTTTCACCCATGAAGCCACTAGAAGAAAGCTATAGGTTCAAACCTGCAATCTTTTGGCAGCCAGAGTGCATAGCCATTGCACCATCCTATCCCTTTACATAAATTTAAGGAAGAGTTTGCAGCAAATGGGCTCCTATGTTGACTGCTCAGAGAAAGCAGACCTGTCTCTATGTTCCTCCTTAGCTTAAATATCAGAAACAATTACATCCCAAATAAGAATAATCCACAGGCACACTCACACAAAGGAGGCCCCTAAGATGCTGCAGGACTTAAAGAACCAGGAACACTAGACCTGGCATGGAGCAGGATGAGCAGCCACCTGAGTCTGTGTTTATTATATGCAGCTAACAATGACTTTGATGGGCTCAACCATAAGAACAATACTGAGAATGGCACGGGACCAAGCAATGTTGTGTTCTGTTGTATAAAGGGTAGATATGAGTTGGAACTGATTCAACGGCACCTAGCATCAACAAGAATGACTTCAATAAGGCCTGCAGTAAGGCTCACACAGGCAATAATACCAAACCCTTCTCTGTCTATCTCATGTGAGCCATCCTTTCACACTTACTACATTCAGCCTGGATACGTCATGGCCCTGACACAGCTGGAAGCTCCATGCTGGGTTGGACTTCTCTAAGTTAAAGCCAAATTAGTTTTGATTGCCGGGCTATTTCTAAGAATTGATTTTGCTACAAACTAAAAATGATCTAGTTTTAAACCTCAATCTTTTTTCCCCTTCAAGTAGAACATTGTGCTTTAATAGTTGATACATTTCAGAAATATTTTTAAATGTTTGGTCACAGTGATGAAAGTGTTAGTGATTATTTATAGCAGATATAAATGGTCATATTTTCTACAAAAATATAAAATTTTTACATCAAAATATAGGAAATAAGGAGCAGCTGGTGAGGATGATTATATGCAATCAAAAAATTCTCATGGGATTTTGACTCCTGGTTTGGAGGGTTAAGGTCATGGGACATCCCAGTTAACTGGGATTATATGATAATGTTTACTGCCTCTGTCCTAACCCCTAGTTTGATGTATAGCTTATAAGTTTACCAGTAGTCATCTTAGTTACAACAATTTGTCCCTATTGAGTTTAGACACCAGAGGAAAAAAAACAGTCAGAAACAGGAAGAGAACAGGGACTATGTGAGCAACTGCCTCCACGAACAACTGCATCCTTTGCCAGGAGACCGGAAGAAATGGAAGGTGCTTAGCTACCGTCACTGAATGTTAGTGAAAGATTCCGTCATAGAGTGAAATTGCTTGTACCGTTCTTCCATCCACAGTCTCTGCACATTCCACCAAATGACTGGAGGGGAGCATTTAATAAGGAGGGAGGGGCCTCTAACTTGGAGACGGAACAGTTTTGCCGTTCTGCTGGTATAACACAAACCATCTGAGAAGCAGGAAGCGTTAATTTCATGACCACCGAGAGGGAAGAGCCAGAGCACAGCGTATCTGACATCCCTCATAGAGAAGTGGCAGTGGCAGCAGAGCCGGCTTGATGTTTCTAACTACAGTACAGACGGTGTCAGGCTTCTTGGCCCACAGAATGGGTATATATAAGTGCTTTGATCAAGAGGTTGGATAGCACAGCGGGGTGTTGCTTGGGCATTTATTGGCACTAAAGGAGTTGTGTAAAATTTGTTCAAGAAGGGCAGAGGCCAAGGAACCACATGGCTGAGAGGCTGAGGATCCAAAAGAGGTGTGCACCCATGAAACACGAGATGTTCCTCTGGTTCCTTGAGGCTTCCTCGCCCCCCACTACCATGACCCCAGTGCTGTCCTTACCCTTTTCAACAACGTCTTAGGTACTAGAAAAAGACCAGGGTAAACTGTAATCCTGCTCCCACTGGGAGAGAGAGGGGGTGTTGGGGTACTATCTGCAAAATATTAAACGTGGACATACCAATATTCTGAATCCTCAACCACAGAGGACGTGCCATATGCAGAGATCTTAGACGAGTTAGAAGCCCAGGTACAGGGACTGACCCATGAACCTCAACAGGGCAGGTGGCTGCTTCCAGAGCACCACCTCCTTATAAGAAGCGGGGTAATGGAAACTGAGGGGAGGCTTTCCTTGGGTCCAGTCTCTATAGTAAGTATTTGTTTAGTATAGTGAGTCTCATAGGTACCTGATGATCTATCTGCTGGAGTCTGGCTCCATGTGGTCAAGTGGGGCTGCTCCTCTTCTGCTACTTGGATCAATTTTGGGGAAGAACTTGATTGCAAAAATGTTGCTGTCAGGTGTCATGGAGACAATTTTGAGTAACAGTAACCCTATATGACAAAATAGAAGTATGCTAGAAAGTTTGGGTTGTAATCTTTGAAGCAGAACAGCAGGGCTTTCTCCCACAGATGGATTTGAATGACCAAGCTTCTGGTTAACAGCTGAATGCTTAACCACTGTGAGACCAGAGCACACTATAGAAGCAGGCTCAGGGAAAGTCCAATCTGGAAAGCAACAATGCGCTTTCTTCCATCAGGGGGTAGTTTTCCCAGAAAGCGACATCAGTCCTAAGCTGGGCAGAGCTCAGTCTGAGTGAACTGCTGCCTCCATGTGATCCAGCTTCGAGGTCCAAGCAGCGATGCGCACTGGCCCCCAAATCAAAGCAAGAGTCTGATGTCCTTATGGCTGAGAATCTGGATTTCTTCTGGAGAGAAAGCGTTCCCTCGGAGCCTAAATGGAGAGAAAATGGGGGGGGGGGGGAAATTGAGTGAGGACAAAACCAGAGCAGCATGATGTTCCAACAAATGGTGCCACCTTTTCAACAAAAGCTCGGGATGGCCTGAGTCTCAGGATCGGGGCAGCTCTCCTGAGTAGTCAGTTTATGATATTAGGACTATCTATCACCCATCAAATCATGAATCATTGTGCTTAGTGAGCAAGTCTCCCCAATGCTACAGAGGAGAAATCACACTGAAATTAGTAGGCACAGACTACTGGAGGCTTAAGATTCTTTTTGTAAGGCAACCACAAGTCCTGATACACCTCCAAATTCTGTAAATTTGGGAGAAAATGACACTAGAGTGCTTAAAATATCAACATCATGCTGGCTTGCTGACCCTAAACACAGACTATGACGTGTCTTGTTGTTGTTGCTGTTGAGGGCAGTCAAGTTGGTCCCAACTAATAGTGACTATGTGCAATACAACCAAATACTACTGTCCTGAAGAGTCCTCACAATTGTTATGTTTGAGCCCATTGTTGGAATCACTGAATCAAACCATATTGTTGAAGGTCCCCCTCTTGTTTTGTTCACACTACTTTCCAAGCATGTTCTTTTACAGGGATCAATCTCTTCCAATAACATGTCCAAAGTATGTGAGGCAAAGTCTTGCCATCCTTAGCTGTAAGGTGCATTCTGGCTGTCCTCTCTCTAAGATGGATTTGTATGTTATTCTGGTTACCCATGGTCAACAACACCATTATTGAAATCCATCAATTCTTCAGAGGTTTTTCTTATTCATTGTTCAACTTTCACATGCATATGAAGCAATTGAAAATACCATGGCTTTGGGTCAGGCCAGCCTTAAATCACAAAGTGGTATCTTTGTTCTTTACACACACACACACACACACACACGTATATATGTACATATATTTTAATATTTTATTGGGGGCTCAGACAGTTCTTATCACAATCCATGCATATGTCCATTGTGTCAAGCACATTTGTACATATATTGCCATCATCATTTTCAAAACATCTTCTTTCTACTTGAGTCCTTGGTATCAGTTCATTTTTCCCCTCTCGCTTCCCCAACCTCTCTCTTTCATGAACCCTTGATAATTTATAAATTATTATTTTTTTCATGTCTTACACTGACTGATGTCTCCACCCACTTTTCTGTTGTCTGTTCCCCTGGGAAGGGGTTATATGTAGATCATTGGTTTCCCCTTTCTCTCCCCACCTTCCCCACCCTCCTGGTATCTCTATTCTCATTATTGGTCCTGAGGGGTTTATCTTTCCTGAATCCCTATGTTTTCGGTGCTTATCTGTAGCAATGTACATACTCTGGTCTAGCTGGATTTGTAAGACCGAATTGGGGTCATGATAGTTGTGGGGAGGAAGCATTAAAGAACTAGAAGAAAGTTGTATGTTTCATCAGTGCTACACTGCACCCTGACTGGCTCATCTCTTCCTTGTGACCCTTCTATAACAGGATGTCCAATTGTCTACAGATGGGCTTTGGGTCTCCATTCCACACTCCCCCTCATTCACATTGATATGATTTTTTTGTTCTGGGTCTTTGATGCCTGATACCCGATCCCATTGACACCTCATGATCACACAATCTGGTGTGCTTCTTCCATGTGGACTTTATTGCTTCTCAGATAGATGACCACTTGCTTACCTTCAAGCCTTTAAGACCCAAACACTATCTTTTGATAGCCGGGCCCCATCAGCTTTCTTCACCACATTTGCTTATGTACCCTCTTCATCTTCAGCAATCATGCCGGGAAGGTGAGCATCACGGAATGCCAGGTTATTAGAACAAAGTGTTTTTTGCATTGAGGGAGTACTTGAGTAGAAGCTCAATGTCTGTCTGTGACCTTAATACTTAACATATAAATATATGGACATATACCTATTTCCATATATACACATGCCTGAATTTAGATCTCTATAAATGTCCTTTGCCTCCTAGTTCTTTCCTCTATTTCTTTTTACTTTCCTCTTGTCCCACTATCAAGTATGGCCTTCATTCAGGTTTCAGTAATTCCTCTCGGCTACATTGTCCTTGATCAAGCTCAACCAGGCATCCTATTCCCTCCTTGCCATCAATTTTAGATCACTTGTTCTTCCCTTGTCCCTGAGTTGTTTGACATCCTCCTTCCTTCCTCACAACACCCTCTCCTGTGTCCCGCCGGAACCATCTTGCACATCAGCTTTTCTCTAAGTAATATATCACTTGATTGGTTGACTGATATTTCCAAGAATGTTGATTGTGGATCCAAGTAAAATGAAATTCTTAACAACTTCCATCTTTTCTCGTTTTATTATGATTCTGTCTATGGGTCTAGTTGTAAGCAAAATGAGAGCCCTTGAACTGGGAAAATGTTTAGCAAAGATACAATAAGCAAATGACTAATCTCTAAAACCCATAGAATACTTTAAGATCTCAATAAGAAAAAGCAAATGATCCCATCAAAAGTGGACAAAAATATGAAGACAGTTCACTTAAAATAACATTGAAATGGCTAACAAGCTCCAAAAAAAACTGCTCATGATCATTAGCCATCCGGGACATGTGAACTAAAACAATACTGAGATATCACTTTAAATAAGCAATGACAAACCAAATAAAACAAAACAACAAATGCTCGACAGGATGTGGAGAAAGTAGAACTCTCAAATCCTGCTGGTGGACCTATAAACATGTACAAATGCTGTGGAAAGCAATATAATGCTACCTAAAAGAACTGGGAATGGAAATCTCAAAAAATACAGCAATACCTCTGCTGAGTATATATATCCTAAAAAAGTAAGAAACACAACATGAGCAAATTACACATTATCATGTTCGTAGCAGCACAGGTCACAGGAATAAGTTGCATACAGATCCAAAGTCCATCAGTAGAAGAATGGCTAAAGAAACTTTGGTACACACACAACGGAATACCACTCATCGTTAAAAAGCATGGATGAAATTACAAAGCACCTCCCAACGTGGATGGACCTGCAGAACATTATGCTGAGCAAAGGTAGTCCTTCACAAAGGGAAAACTATTGTATGCGCCCCTTACCATATGAGAAATACCAAGACAAAGACAGACTCTTCTCGGGCCATGTACCCATTCAGTCCGGCCTCCCAATCCATTGAACACCCCCTTGTTTGTGCATCTTACAAATCACTTCTTCAGAGAAGACCTCTCCTCAGCTAGGGTAAGTTTTTGTTGCTGTTGTTGTTGTCAGAGGGGAGAGGGACATACAGCATTATCCCATGGCCATCTCACGCTAATAGACACCTCTATAATGATAATCAGTTCATTGTAACGGGAACTGGTGACCAGAGAAAAGGGGAGAGGATGATGTGTGTCTCTGAGAAGTTGATTTCACTTCTGCTGATGTGACAACAACACCTAGACAATGTCTGCCCTTGGGGAAAAGTTTTTTTCCCTCCCTCCCCGCTTCCCCAGGGGAACAGTTTAACATTACTTATATAGACTCCCAATAGGAGCATCTGCCCGGTATTATGTTAATAATCATGCATTTTAGACTGTGTTTCTTTTCAGTCCTCAGTGACCCTGGGTATGTGCTACAGGGTCCTTTGATTTTAGTTTTTTATCTTTTCAAGGTGTACAACATTCTTTAGAAACAACATCAGAATTAAGTGAGGAAACCCCACTAAGGGAACCAGACTTTCCCTCAGACACACTTGTTGGAGATGAAAGGAACAGAAATACTCCTTTGGAGCTAAAGGGGAAACAACCTAGTGTGAGGAGGAGCAGAGGACTGCTATCCCAAGTCATGGATTTGGAAGGTTATTGGTTCAAATCTCTTGCTTTTGTGGTTGTGCAATAATTGGCAATTTAAGACCGCCTTATACTTGTCATCTTCATAGTTTATTTGCTTCTTGTGACTTACCTTAGTCCCGCAGACATATTATATTATATTAAATCCAGGATAGGTAAATCCCGAGTTAGAAACTAGATTATTAATTCCTTAGGGTTATGGTAGAGGAGGTAATGGAGAGCTAATAATAATAGGTACAACTTTCCTCTAGCTCTTTGGTGCTTCCTTCACCACACTATCATGATCTCAATTCTACCTTACAAATCGGATTAGACCAGAACATGCACACTGCTACAGATAAGAGTTCACAACACAGGGAATCCAGGATAGATAAACCCCTCAGGGATAACAAGGAGAGTAAAGATACCAGGAGGATTAGGGGATGGTGGGGGAAGAAAGGGGAAATTGATCACAGGGATCAACCTAGAACCCCCTCCCAGGGGGACGAACAATGGAAAAGTGGGTGAGGGGTGACGGAGGATAATGTAAGATATGGAAAAAATAATCTATAACTTATCAAGGGTGCGTGAGGGAGGGCGGGTGAGGGAGGGAGGAGGAAGAAATGGGGAGCTGATATTTGGGGCTCAAGTGGGGAGAGAATGCTTTGAAAATGATGATGGTGGCATATGTGCAAATGTGCATGACACATTGGAGGAATATATGGATTATGATAAGAGATTTAAGAGCCCCCAATAAAAGTATTTTAAAAAATAATAATAGGTACAAGAATTAATAAAATGTTCTAGAATTGTGGTGATGCTTGCATAATTCTCAAATATAATTAAACCACTGAATTATATGGTACTTGAATTATATTCTAATAAAACTATTAAAAATAAAAGAAAACCTTCTAAAAGAATAAGGAAAAGAATGAGATGCTTCTGAGTTCTGTGTCAACAACATCAGATAGTTGTAACCATAGGTTTGTTGTAATTCATAGGGTTTTCCTTGACTAATTTTCAAAAAGACTCACTACACCTTTCTTCCTAGTTCACCTTAGACTGTTATCTCTGTTGAACCTGTTCATCATCATCACAACAATATACAAACCCCAGTGACAGGTAGTAGCTCTAAATGAAGTACATTGGCTAGGAATCAAGTTCAAGTTTCTGCACAGAGGGTGAGATTTCTACCGGGGAACCACCATAATCCTCTTGAGTTAGACACAGATCCTTGGATAGAAATTAAGAAAAACCTATGAATGTGCAACTCAATGCTCTTTTCAAACGTGAGATAAAAGAGCATGGCTTTTAATTATACAGACTCAAGATCCATTGTGCAACAATCCCCATCTTTGTCACTTCCACCCACAGCGGCAGAGTATCTGACAGAACAACCTTGGTCTACGAAGGCAGATGCAATGCCAACGAGGGTCAGAGTTTGAGCCTCCCCCCACCCCGCCCCGCCACTCCTTATTTTCATTCTTCAACCACTGCCTTATTCCTGTTCTATAGCTTAAAACAAAGACGTTTCTGAATATTTATGAGTGGAAAACGAAAGTCCTTATCAGAGAGATGAGTTCTTTCGCAGGTACAGAAATAAATTCATCACAAACAAAACGTCCAAAGCTTCTTTCCCCACCCACCCCATTTTACAGAGCGGAAAACCAGGTTCACAGAGATCAAGAAGGCTTGCCCACAGGACTCACCAGACTTCCAGGATGGCATCGTTCTTTTCAAGGGCCCGCAGGAGAACTTCTGCCCCAACGTAGGTGATGTGGTTGTTGGACAGCCTGGCCAGGAAGACGGAAGGGAGAGCTGCCAGAATGCATGGTCTACTGGGTCTACTCAGTCAAAAGAATTGTGGGGAGCTAGCTCCAATTCCAGTCTAGCTGCTGAAGGTCTCTTGTCCCTGGCAATCCAGACATTAACGTCTCCACTCAGAGACTCCGAGTGAGCTCATCAACAACTGTACCCCTTCTCTCGTCTGTTCTTCCTAATTTGTTTATGTAGCTGTGTCTCCCCTCTCAGGAAGGTGCTATAGCACAGTGGTTCTAACAATATTGGGGTTCTAATGCCAGAAGTCTTGGGTTCAAATGAAACCTACATCAATTTCTTTTTCATCTCAAGCTAATTTAGTTGCAGCGTCCTCAGCTGTAAAATGAGTCTAAGAGCACTTACGTTTCCAAGGCTGTAAGTATTTACAAAAACAGTCCAGTGGGTTTGAACTGCTGATAACCTTGTTTAGCAGCTAAGCACTTTAACCACAGTGCTACCAGGGCTTCTAAAAGTATAGCCATTAAAGAAGTATGTTCTGCCACTGTTCAATGTTCACCCTCATGAAGAGATCCCTGAAAATATAGGTGCTATAACAAAGTGTGGAGAACAAACCAGATGGTGCCCAGCTATGAGGGGAAAAAATAGCCTATCAGTAACAAGCAGCCATCTAAGTGAAGTGTCAACTAAGTTTACATTGAACCACACCGGTCTGCATGATCCAAGGATTGTAAATAACAAAATGCAAATACAAAGGAGGAAATAATATGAGCTTAAATTGTAAACACTTGGTTTGCAGAAGGCTATGGTTGACAGTGGAAGCCCCAAATCCATTTGCAAGGTCCCCACGTGGATTAAGTCTCTGGTATATCCTCTCTGACCACAGCTGAGGAATAGCAATAGCCCTGCTATCATACAGAGAGCACAGTAAAGTTGATTTGGACAGATGGAGTCAGGCTAAAATGTTAATTCCCTAACATTTGATATCTCTTTTGAGCCATTTTAAAGTTGTTTCAGTTTTTAGTATTTTCTACTTTTTGATTGAGGTTTTCCGATGTCTTGCACAGATGTTGGTTTTTGTTTGTTTTTTGCTTTATATGATTTTGTATGATTTTCTGTATGTGAAATCCAGGATACGTTGATCAATAGAATAACTGGATAGGGCCATGGCCGGGGAAGATCAGGGAAATTCAGAGCTATCAGAAATGAGTATGAGAAGAAAATGTTCTGAAATTGATTGAATTATGATTGCACAAAATTTCTTAATATGATTGGTTAAATTGTCTGCTATGTAAAGTATATGCCAATAAAACTTTTTTAAAAAGAAAAGTATTATGTTCATTTGGGGGACTGTGATAGTTAAGGTTTATTGTGCCAGCCTGGCCAATGAACACATGTGGGATTAATTGAAGGGCAGTTTAATTGAAGGGCGGAGAGATAAATGGCTCAGCGAGCCTCGCCTTGTCACTTGTTCTCTGATTGTCGGACCAGTGTTCAGCTGTCTTAGCTAGTTTTCTGCCTCAGCTGGCAAGGCTCACTTCCTACAGGACATCCCTGAAGAGAAGTCACATGGACCTATCCTGATGCAGCCTGGGTGCTGGAGCAGCTGTGTGGAGACCCCTGCCAGCGCTGAGATGCTTACACATTCACTGAGTCGGCTTTCCTCCTGCAGTTGGTGTCATTGCATGTGTTTTGTCAAATTAAGGAGGATTTTGTAGATCGGTGTCGAACATATGGGCTAATATGGGACTTATGGGCTTGGACAGCACTGGGCTGGGATGCTTTCTTTTCTTTTTTCTTTTTAAAAAAAGAATCATTTTATTGGGGGCTCGTACAACTCTTTTTTTGTGTGGGGATGCTTTCTTAATGTACACTTACCCTTTATATGAAACTCTCTCATAAAATATGAGTGTCTATAAATTTTGTTTTTCTAGTCTACCCAGGCTAACACAGGGACCCTGTAAGTTTGATTTGGTTTTATCACCAGATGTGTCTATTGCGTGTTCATTATCTGTATCCCTATCAAAATGTAAGAGCCATGTGCGCTGGGACCTGATCTGGCCTTCCATCTCTGTGTCTTCCATGCCTCAAACAGGGCCTAGCACTAAATGGGTATTCCAGAAATGTATCTTGTATGAACATACAAATGCATGCATGTATGCATATGTGAATGAATGTATAAAGAACAAGCAAGCATATCCATACATGAATAAATACCTACATGTACTCATGGCTGCATACAGCTAAGTTCATTGAAGAAAGAGAAGGACATTTCCAGTGAGTCACATGGTCAGCAACCCACGCATATGCCCTCACCTTTCATTTCTCACCAAAGGCTTTGTTGAGGACACCTGTCCCTCTGACTACGGTCTTTCTTCTGACCCCAGGAGCAAGTTGAGTCATGTGCAGAACAAGTTAGAAATATCAAGTTGTTCCTGTTCCACAAGCACATCTCACCAAAGCATGCACAGGCAGTTAGTAGATAAACCCCCACTTTTCACCCCTCAGATAAGCAGGCAACCAGGTGTGCTTTACACTGGCTTACAGAGTTCCCAACTAGGACCCCTACATAGTTGCCCATTGTGGTGTTAATTTATTATATCTTGGCTGACTTCCCTTTTCTGCCTCACTTTGTTATTTTCCTATCTATGTTTTTTGGGACTAGCTCTGAATAGACTATTTGCACTTGACCAACATAAACTATTGTTTTCCATGCAAACTCATGTGAGCTTCTCAGGCTGGCAAGATCTCTGATTCAGAAGCAATCACTTCCAAGACTTACTTCAAAACTTTCAAACTGGAATTTCTGGTAAGTCCTTCAGCGAGAGAACATACACCTTCATTGTGGAGATGGTTTTCTTCCAGGCTGGCAAGAATAAGAGAGAAAATCGAGTTGATTTGAAGCATTTATTATAGGAGAGGATATCAATAAAGATGAACCCAATTGCTCAGATTCAGAAAATACAATATCTGAAAATTTACACTTAGGAAACTGATAGAACATTCTCAATTCCAGGGGCATTGTTACAGAGAATTCATGCCAATGGCCCTTTACATAATAAATTCCCTCATGCCTATCTGAAAATTCACACTTAGGAAACTGATAGAACATTCTCAATTCCAGGGGCAATGTTACAGAGAATTCATGCCAATGGCCCTCTACATAATAAATGCCCCCATGCCAACCTACCCACTATAATTTGCATTTATTCCATGTTAACGGGAGCCTAATTTTGTTTCCAGGAGCCCTGGTGTTGCTTTCAGGTAAACATTGGAATAATTGTAGTTATAAGGTCAGCAATTCAAATCTATCAGCTGCTTTACAGGAGAAATCTTTATGAGGCTCCCATAAAGATTTATTGCCTCCAAAACCAGAGTGGCATGCTGGCTCCATGTTAGGCTGCTAACTACAAGGCCAGCAGTTTGAAACCACCAGCTGCTCTGACAGAAAGATGACGTCTGCTACTTCCATAAAGAGTTCCAGTCCTGGACATGCACAGGAGCAGTTCTCCCCGATCCTATAGGATCCCTGGGAGTCAGAATTCACAACTTGTCTGTCAGTTTGTCATCCTGTGGTGACTTGTGGGTTGCTGTCATGCTGGAAGCGATGTCACTTGTATTTCAAATGCCAGCAGGGTGACCCAAAGTGAACAAGTTTCAGTGGAGCTTCCAGACTAAGAACAAGCAATGAAGGTCCAGGCTTCCAACTTCGGAGGAAGAAACCGCTGAAAACCTTCTGTATACCCTTGATGCATTCTCAAATATGGAAAGCCTGAAGAAGCAAAGCAGAAAATGACTGGTGATAGTGTGACGGAAGAGGAGCTGGTTTCTTGGAGGAGAGTCGACCATGGTGAGGTGAGCTGGGTAAAGCCTGTGGGAGATGAGCCTTCAAAATCTTCATTTCCTGATGGGGCATGACTCACCGTACAGAGAAACAGCTGCAAAAAATATTCTAATGATCTGAATGTGGAATGTGTGAAGTATGAATTTAGGAAAATTGGAATTGGTAAAAAATGAAATGGAACCCCTGAAGGTCAACATCCTAGACATTAGTGAGCTGAAATGGACTGGGATTGGCCATTTTGAATCAGAAAATCATTATGATTTACTATGCTGGGAATAACACAATCAAGAGGAATGGTGTGGCATTCACTGTCAGAAAGGACCTTGCTAAATCCATCATGAAGTACAGTGCTATCTGTAATAGGATTATAGCTTAATACAACTATTATTCAAATTTAGAACCTACCACAAAAGCTACTAAGCAAGAAATTGAGAATACTACCAACAACTTCGGTCAAAAATTGACCAAACATACAATCAAGATGCATTGATAATTATTGGTGATTGGAATGCAAAATTGGAAACAAAGAGGTAGAAACACTAGTTGGAAAATAAGACCCTCTTGATAGAAATGAAGCTGGAAATTGCATGTTAGAATTTTGCAAAACCACTGACTCATTCAAAGCAAATACCTATTTTCAACAACACAAAAGAACTTCCCGAGACTGAATCAAATTGACTACATCTGTGAGAAGACACAATGGAGAAGCACATATCAGCTAAAACAGGCCGTGGGATGACTGTTGAAAAGACCAACAATTGCTCATATATAAGTTCAGGTTAAAGCTGAATAACGTGAAAGAGGTTCACAAGAGCCGAAATACAACCTTGAGTCTATCCCACCTGAATAATGAGAACATCCCAAAACAGATTTGACACTGATGACAGAAGAAAACAAAAGGTCATTAAAAAGACAGGAAGAAAAGAAAAGATCAAAGTGGATGTCAGAAGAAATTCTGAAACTTGCTCTTAATTGTAGAGTCCCTAAAGCAAAAGGAAGAAAGGATGAAGTCAGGAGTTGAACAGAAAATTTCAAAGGGCAGCTTGAGAAGATAAACCCAAATACTATAACAAAATGTACAAGTAACTAAAATTTGAAAACCAAAGGGAAGAACACATTCAGAACATCTGAAATTGAAATAATTCAAGAAAAAAACTCAAGCCTAGATTTGCAATCTTGAAAGATTCTATCAGCAAAATACTGAATAATGCAGGAAGCATCAAGAGCAGACGGAAAGAATACACAGAGTCACTCTACCAAATAGAACTAGTTAACGCTCCACCATTCCAGGAGGTAGCATATGAGCAAGAACATGTGGTGCTGAAGGAAGAAATTCAAACTGTACTGGGGGCACTGGCCCAAAGCAAGTCTCAGGAATTGATGGACCACCCATTGAAATGTTTCATCAAGCTGAAGAAGCATTGGAAGAACTCATTATTTTATGCCAGGAAATTTGGAAGACAGCTATTTGGCCAACTGACTGGAAGAGATCCATATTTGTGCTTATTTCACAGAAAGGTAATCCAACAGCATGTTCAAACCATAGAATGAGGGCAGTGATATATCACAAAATTTTTTTTCTTAAACTCATCCAACACCGGTTGTAACAACACATTGATAGAGAACTGCCAGAAATTCAGGTTGGCTTCAGAAGAGGATGTGCAATGTGGGCTATCATGGCTGATGTCAGATGGATCTTGACTCAAAGCAGAAATCCTAGAAAGATGTTTTCTTGTGTTTCATTGACTATGCAAAGGGATTCTTCTGTGTGGACCATAATCAACTGTGGATAACCTTCAGAAGAATAAGAACACTAGAACACTTCATTGTGCTCCTGAGGAACTTGTGCAAACAGAACAAAGGAATACTTCATGGCTCAAAGTCAGGAAAGGTGTGTGTCAGGGTCGTATCCTCTCAACATACTTGTTCAATCTATATGCTAAGCAAAATCATCAGGGATGCTGGATTATATGGAGAAGAATGTGGCATCAGGACTGGATTATTATCAGGATTATTAACAACCTGCATATGCAGATGACCCAACCTTGCTTGCTGAAAATGAGGATGAACTGAAATACTGGCTGATGAAGATCACAGATTTTAGCCTTCAGTATACATTAAAATTCAATGTAAAAAAGACCAAATTTCTTACAACTGGACCCATAGGTAATATCATGGTAAAGAAGCTGAAATTGTCAAGGATTTTGTCTTGCTTGGATCCACAATCAATACTTATAAAAAGAGCAGTTCAGAGATGAAAAGATGTATTGCATTAGGTAAATCTTCTGCATAAGATCCCTTTATAGTATTGAAAAGCAAAGATACTACTTAGAGGACTAAGGTGCACCTGACCCAAGTCCGGGTGCTCTCCATGGCCTCATATGCATGGGAAAACTGAACAAGAAAGAATGAAGAAGAATCCATGCATTTGAATTATGGTGCTGGAGAAGACTGCTGAAAGTACCATGAACTGCTGAAAGGGCAAAGTGATCTGTGTTGGAAGAAGTAAGGCCGGAAGCTCCTGAGAGGCAAAGATAGCAATACTTCATCCTACACACCGTAGACACACGGTCAGGAGAGACCAGTCTCTGGACAAGGACATCACGTTGGGTAAAGTGGAGGAAAGCTGTCAACAAGATGGACTGACACAGCCGCTGCCTCAATGAGCTCAAGCATAGGACCGGATGTGAGGATGGCACAGGAGCATGCGGCATTTCTCTATGTTGTACATCGGGCCTCTGTGGGGCAGAGCTGATTCAATGGCACTAACAACATGAGTCAGAATCAAATTAATGGCAATGAGTTTGATTTTAGTTTATGAGTCCGAATCAACTTGATTTGTGTTTGGTTTCTGGTCGTTTTGTTTGGGAATCCCTGAGTGGTATACATAGTCTACATGATCTGTTGAGGGTCTGCGTCCACCCAGAGGCATTGTGGATTTACCTGGTGATTTACATCTGCAAACCATATAAATCACAGTTCTACTCTGACTTGTACGTGGCTGCCATCAATCAGAAGCCGCTCAACGGTAACTGGTGCTGGTAATTTTATGTGGGGCAGTGATGTACCTGGTGATAGACCTAAATTTTCTAGCCTCCATTACAGCGAGGCCATTGATGAAGTAGAAGTTAACAGAAGGAACTTTTAGGAATGCTCTTTAATGAGAAGACACCTATCTTCCCTGGAGTTTTTGACCTTGCGAGGCATATAGACTGAACCGTGGACTACAGAAGTAGTACCGTAGATGGAGATCTTGACCATGAAGCTATCCACCCATGAGCTAGAGATGATGGAGCAGAGAGAAAGACAAGGGCCCTGTTGGACTCAAGTAACAACCAAACCAACCCTCTGCTGCCACTACAGACACGAGAGAATAAACATTTATTGGCTGAAGCCACTGTGCTGTTGTTCTCAGTTGTCATCAAGCCCGCTTTGGCCCCATGTATAATAGAAAAAAATGTCATTGGTCTTGCATCACCTTCACAATTGTTGGTATGCTTGAGTCCATTGTTGTGGCCAAAGTGTATCTGAGAGCCTTCTAACCTAGATGTTCATCTGCCAACAATACATCAGACAATATTATTTTACGAGCTCCTGGAAATACATTGGCTAATTTCCAGAAGTAGATCTATAGGCCTTTCTTCCTAGTTTGTCTTAATCTGGAAATTCACTGAAACCTGTCCACCATGGATGACCTTGTTGGTACTGGAAACACTAGTGGCATAGCTTCCAGTACCATAGCAGCATATAATCTACCACAGTATGATAAACTGGAAGACAGGTAGTGTTTAAGCTTCAATAGATGGACGTTTCCTATCACATGCAGCCTAAAGCAATCATAATTACTTAATTTACTGTGAAATTCCAGCAGCAAAATCCTATCAGGGTGGAGCTTGTGAGCCCTGCCAATAGCCAAGGTCATCCATAATCCCCTTCCTATGGCAATGCTAATTGACTTTTTTCTTTTTTTCTTATCATTTTATTAGGGGCTCATACAACTCTTATCACAATCCATACATACACCAATTGTGTAAAGCACATTTGTACATTCATTGCCCTCATCATTCTCGAAACATTTCCTCTCCACTTAAGCCCCCGGCATTAGTTCCTCATTTTTCCCCTCCCTCCCCACTCCCCCCTCCCTCATGAGCCCTTGATAATTTATAAATTATTATTTTGTCCTATCTTTTCCTATCCGACGTCTCCTCACCCACTTTTCTGTTGTCCGTCCCCCAGGGAGGAGGTCACATATAGTTCCTTGTAATTGGTTCCCTCTTTCCAAACCACTCTCCCTCTACCCTCCCAGTATCACCACTCACACCACTGGTCCTGAAGGGATCATCCGCCCTGGGTTCCCTGTATTTCTAGTTCCTATCTATGCTTCCTGGAAAACCAAACATTTGTCATTTATCTCCCTAAAATAATCTGAACTTTCTCAGACATGTCAAAACTGTACTAGTGAAGTCTGGGGTGAAAAATTCATAATCAGTTTCAGGTATGGCATTTTCAAAGTTCATTTTCCAACTTCCCCCAATCATATTCTACCTTACAACATAACTAATAATACCTCGTGTTCTTAGGTTCTCAAATGCACTTTAGAATAGCAAAAGGCTATTATTATTTACAGGAGCCCTGGTGGCATAGTGGGTTACATGTCAAGCTGCTTTCTGCAAGGACAGCAGTTCAAAGCCACCAGCTGCTCTGAAAGAGGAAGGTGAGGTTTTCTGCTTCTGTAAAGATTCGCAGTACAGAAACCCATAGGAATAGTTCCACTCTGCCCTCTACGGCTGCTATGAGGCAGAATAGACTCAGTAACAGTAAGACTTGATTATTATAACTCGTAGTAATAATACTACTAGTAACCATGCTATGATTATAAGTTAACATTTATGGAGTACTTATTTCTACTGCAGGGACTGTAACAAGCTCTTTAAAACATTACCTCACTAATTCTTACATCAATGTTTAATAGAAGCATTCTTTTCAATCTAAAATATTGATATTTTAGAGGGTAGAAAACAGAGACTTAGGAACTGTTCTTCAACTGCTTAAGATGTCAATCTTGGCGATGATGTTGGGGAAACACTGGACTGCTACAAGTACTGTACTTTCAAACTCACCAGCTGCAGTGTGGGTGGGGAGGAAAATGAAATTATCTGCTCCCATTCAGTTTACAGCCTCAGGAGCCCTATGTATGATTCAAATGAACTGGAAGGGACTCGATGGCAATGGGGTTTGGATGAGTACAGCAGAATCTCAGCCCACTGCCATCTTTGCTCCTAACCATTTATGCATTTGCAGGCAGTAAACAAACAAAAAATCTGATTAAGTGATTAATCAAAAAGAACTAGTACCTATATGTCAGGCTCTCTAAGAGGCATATCACCCAGTATGTGTAGAGCCAAATGGTTAAGGAGCTCTCCTCCTTTGCTTTATCCTTACATCTGCATTCATAAATGAGGCCAGAGAATTAAGCAAAGTAGTTATCTATCTCTATAGAGCAGGGAATACCCCAAACTCACCAGAGTTCTTCCAGAACCACGTTTTTTTCCAACATCAGTGCTAAAGCTTGGGCACCCACACTGCCGATGTTGTTTCCTACCAGGCTAGACACGGTCACAAAACAAAAACATGTCAGAAAAGGGAGAGACATCAGAGAAAAACACAAAGGCATGGGTGACAATATGCATAGCACACATAACGCCATTCTCCTTGGCTGCTCTATGTCAGACATCTCCAGTTACAGGGCTCTTTTCCTTTTTTTTCTTCCAACATATACTTACTTAGCATTTACCCTGTACTTATTTTCTTTCTTTTTTTTATTAAATACTTTTATTGGGGGCTCTCAAGTCTCTTATCACAATCCAAGCATTCATCCAGTGTGTCAAGCACATTTGCACATATACTGCCATCATCATTTTCAAAACATTCTCTTCCCACTTGAGTCCCTGATATCAGCTCCCCATTTCTTCCCCACCCATCCTCCCTCATAAACCCTTGGTAAGTTATAGATTATTTTCATATCTTACATCATCCTCCGTCACCCCTCACCCACTTTTCCATTGTTTGTCTCCCTGGGACGGGGTTCTAGGTTAATCCTTGTGATCGATTCCCTCCCTTCCCCCACACCCCCACCCTCCTCTAATCCTCCTGTTATTTCTACTTTCCTTGTTGGTCCTGAGGGATTTATCTATCCTGGATTCCCTGTGTTGTGGGCTCTTATCTGTAGCAATGTGCATGTTCTGGTCTAATCCACTTTGTAAGGTAGAACTGAGGTCATGATAGTTGGGGGAAAGGAAGCACCAAAGAACTGGAGGAAAATTGTGTATTTCATCGGTGCTATACTGCACCCTGACTGGCTCCTCTCTTCCCTGTGACCCCTCTGTGAGGGGATGTCCAATTGTCTACAAATGGGCTTTGGGTCTCCACTCCATGCCCCTCCCCCCCATTCACACTGGGTCTGATTTTGTTGTGGGTCTTAGATGCCTGATACCTGATCCCATTGAGACCTCATGATCACACAAGCTTGTGTGGGCTTTGATGCTTCTCAGCTAGGTGGCCGCTTGTTTATCTTCAAGCCTTTAAGACCCCAGACACTATATCTTTTGATAGCGGGTCACCATCAGCTTTCTTCACCATGTTTGCTTATGCACCCATTTTGTCTTCAGCGATTGTGTCAGGAAAGTGAGTAACACAGAATGCCAATTGTTAGAATAAAGTGTTCTCGTATCGAGGGAGTACTTGAGTCGAGGCCCAATGTTACAGGGCTCTTTTTCATTAAGTCTAGATCCAGGCTTAGAATCCTTCCCAATATGGTATGCCAGGCTGTCACTACTAATGGATTAAAGTTGGTCCTTGAGATAAAATTAATCTGATATAGCACAAGAACTTGAATTTACAAGTAGAGGATTAAGACCATTGATAGGGGATCTAACATCTCCAAAGTCACCCAGAAAGATTCAAGTCTCTGCTCTATAGCCAATCATGTACCCCACTGCCTAACATACCAATAACTGCCAGAGAGTTGATAGCAACCTTATAAGACAGTGTAAAACTGCTCCCTAGAGTTTCTAGTACTGTAATCTTTATGGGACCAAGTCAATCTCATCTTTCTCTTTCACAGAGGCTGCTGGGCTTGAACTGCTGACCTTGTGACTAACACCACAATGTATAACCCTCTGTACCACCAGGGGTTGGAGAGTTAAAATGTTCAAAGCCCCTTAAAACTGGTCTGAGCTCCTCTATCTTCACTCTGGCTCCCACTATGACAATTGTAGAGCAGACCCTGAAGTTTACCTGAGCCACTTTAAGCTCTGGTGGTCACTTAAGGCTTCAGCCAAGGCCTGGGCCCCCTTGTCACCAACTGTGTTGCCCCAGAACCTGAAAAGACCAACAAAGTCAACATAGAGTAAGCACCTACTACGCAGTCCAAGAGAGGTTTAAATGGGTCACCTTATAGCATTTGGTCCAACTTCACTCTAATTTTTCGGTGGCTTTATATCACTAACTTGCAGAATAATAGAGGCCCATCCAGCCTTCCCCTTTTCACTTCGACAATGAACTCATGATTTTAATCTTTTTCTGACATTTAATTCAGATCTGTCTTCTGGTAACTGCCATCGACAAGTCCTAAGTTACTCTCAGGTATAATTCTTCTTCAATATGCTAGTTCTTACCTCTTGTTGCTTCTTGACCTTCTCAATTCCTTTTTGATGTCTAGTTCTGCAAGCTACTGGGCCACCCTCCTCTGACGCATTATAGTTTGAAAATACCCTTTTTAAGAAAGGGGAACCACATCAGCCTTCTGATGTGCTAAGTTCCTTTGAACATGAACATGTGCCAGTGAGGGAAGAGCGTGTTCGCTGGGCTTCAATCGGCATGGTAAAGATGCATTGAGCGTCTGCTTTTTACTAGCACTCTGGGCTCTGGGAATACAACACTGTGAATGCTCAACAATCTGGAAACAGCCTTAGGGAATATCAACCGGGGTCTGTTACATAGATTATAGACACCCACCCAGCGGGATACTATGCAGCAACTCTGTAAACAATGGGGTCATGATGACATGAAAATGCCTACTACATATTGTTAAACAAAAGAAAGCAGCCAAAAATACATCTTCCATAAAAAAGTTTATACCATATGATAGTGTTCTGCATTTTTACCACAGTGCTTGGTCCGGAGAAGGTGCCTTAATAAATCCGTGTTTGAAGACCAATACACCCCCCATATGTGACCTTAATCAGGAGGTCCTCTTTCTCATAGACACTGTGCTGCTGCTGCTGCTCAGGAATCTCGAAAAAGGAGCTGGTTTCTCAAGCACAGAGGCTTGCTTCAGAACGGAGTATGTTTTGTGGGCAACAACCTGCCCACTTGGGCCCGAAAGTTATTTTTGCTTCCTCTCATCTCAGATTCTAAACTCCCCAGTTCTTATTAAATGGAACACAGCTCACACCAGGGTGTAAGGACAAGAGTATGGTTCTGGGAGACTTCCTGGGTGCAGTCTGGGGAGCAATCACTCTGCCCAGGAAAAAGAGAAAGCCCACCCAGGCCGCGCCATCTGTAAGACTTTCAGCCTGAACCTGACCCCCCTCCTCCCCCTCCCGGGTAGGGCTAGCAGGGCCCCACATTAGCAAGAATTCTGAAGGTCCATGAAAGTCTCCTGCTACCCTGCGTCCACATTCACCCTCCGCACCTCTTTCTTTCCCCAAGTTCTGTGGTTCTCACCCCTGGCCGGATCTCCATTGCGGAGCTTAACAAAAAAAAAAAAGGCCTGACCTCTGGATCCTACACTCAGGTATTTCCATTTAATGAGTCACAGATGGGCCCAGGCAACAGCATTTTTAAGAGGCTTCCCAAGTTATTTTAACTTAATTTAACTTCCCAAGTTATTTTAACCTGTGACCAGCTATGTATCCTGTCCTCTCCAGTCCTGGCACCCTCTACTTCCTGTTTATCTATCTATTTTTTTTTCAACTTCCTGTTTATGAGGCAAAGATGAACGGAGGCAGCTAAGGTTCAACCACTCTTTGCCTGGCTCACTCTCCCTACTGTGGCCAGGGCTTCTGGCTAAAGAGTTGCACCTGCTCTACATTTTGGACCATTCCAAGAACCTCTGTGTGGTCCCGGTGGCCCTAAGAGGCCAACCTACCCCAGAAACTGGAGGGAGGAGTTGTCTCGGAGTCCTTGCGCTAGCACCTTGGCCCCGACAGCAGTGATGCGGTTATTTCCCAGCCTGGAAGGAAAGACAGAAGAGGCTGAGAGAGTCATGTTGAGACAGAGGCCAAAGGACCTTCATGTCCTGAAGCCCCTGGGTCCGGTGGGAAAGTGGCATCCTGGACATAGACGAGACCTGCTATCACACTCCAGGGCAGCACAGAGCATGCTGTGAAATCTCTGCAAAATGACCAACCTTTGCATCAGCAAAGGAAAGGGGGAGGGGCTGCTTGGTACACAGTGTGACATCTATTCACAGGAGCCATCCGAGGCAGCTGCCCTGGCAGGTGGTTATGGAGGATGATTCAATAACTGCCCCACCTTCTCCTCTTGTCTCAGGCACCTGCCCCCACTAGAGCACAGAAAGCCCCCTGTAGTTTCCCAGAGCGACTCTTACCGCAGGTAGCGTTGACCTGTTACAAGCAAGCCCAGGGAAGACTCAGAGAGGAGGGACTCATTGAATTTTTGGAGAGGGCTCTCTGGCAACCCCAAGAGGAGAATGTGGGAAGGAGGGTCTTGGAAAAGTGGCCAGGCCAGGGGATCCCAGCAAGTAGGGTATGGTTAGCTGCCCATCAGGGGGTCGATGGCTCCTGGTTACCCCACACACACTGGGACAAAAAGCTGTCTGCACCATCCCCATGAATCCTTTTTCAGCCATAGCTTGGGGGAGATGGAGGCATTTGAGAAACCCTAAACAAAGGAAAAGCAGTTAAAAGCAAAACCAAAAAAAAGTTGTCATGGACATAACTCTGACTCATGGTGACCCTTTGTGCATCAGAGTAGAATTGTGCTCCATAAAGCTTTCAATTGCTGAATTTTCAGAAGTAGATTGGCAGGCCTTTCTTCCAAGGCACCTCTAGGTGGGCTCAGGACCTAATAGCAGTCAAGCACATTAAACATTTGCACCACAGGGACTCTTCTGAATTCAGCCTGAAGGTCATGGTCCTAGTGTGGGCTGAGCCAGTGTGACTCAGCTGGGGGGGGGGGGACTCTTTCTCTGGGAAAAAGGAAGTCCAAAGCTCACCTCAATGCCAAGAAGTTGTGCTTGCACGCCAGGAGCTTGGCTATGGAGTGTGCACAGCCATCAGTCAATCTGTTGTTGAACAGGCTAGAAGTTTGCAGGAGAGAAGAGACAAGAAGACAAAGAAAAAGGGCCGTGATGACCCCAACAGGGCAGTCGTACCCCTCGGAACAGGAACCCCCCTGCATCCTTCAGCCATGCAAACACCCACGTCATGATTCAAGCCCACCTGCCCAGGTCTGGAGTGAAGCTGGCCAATGCCCATGGCCCAGTCTGACTTACGCTAATTTTTGCAGCTGCTCACAGTGAAGAGCATGTTCAATGAGCTTGCAGACGCCTCTGTCTGATATATCATTATCTCGCAAGCTAAAAAAGACCAAAAAAAGTACATTTGGAAGACAGATTCAGAAAAGGATGTGGCAGTAGGGCTATCATTGCTCACCTCACATGGTTCTTGGCTGAAAGAATACCCAAAAGGTGTGATCTTGTGTTTTATGGCCTGTGATATGCAGAAGCCACAACCTTGTTTACTGGAAGCCAAGAGGGCTGGAAGCACTTGCTGATGAAGATCAAAGACCACAGCTTTCAGTATAGATGATAACTCAGCATAAAAAACAAGCAAACAAAACCCTCACAACTGGACCAATAGCCAACATCAAAGTAAATGGAGAAAAGACTGAAGTTGTTAAGATTTCATTTTACTTGGCTCCACCATCAATGCTTCTGAGTTGGAAGCCACTCAACATGGTGGTTATCTCTGACTGGGCTGGCAGATGTCAGCCACCTGGCAAGAGTGGCCACATTTTCAAAAATGAGCACATGGTTTGGCTTAGTGGGGTTCTGCTGGCCAGCCCTTTCTTCCTGGAGTCTTTTCTGCTGCAGGCCACACAGAGGCCAGAAAGTGCCCTCTGCCTCTACTTTCAGACAGAGCCTCAGGTCCCTCTGCTGGTGGTAATTTAGTGTGATGTGTGAGGCAGAGCCCAGGGATCCTTATTGTTTACCAGTTGTACACATGATTCTTATCTTCAAACAATGGAAACCCTGAACTTATAGTTAATAGTCCAGGTTATGGGGTCACTCAAATGTTAGTTCTGACCCTGAAACTGCTAGCTATTGGCTAGTTCTTACATCTGTAAAAAAAAAAAAACCCAAAACCGAACAGCAGTATTACTGTCCTCAAAGAGACAATGCACGGAAAGCACCTTTGGTATCTGTTGCCTGGTAAGATCTTCCTGTGATCATGACCACTGGCATCTATTTAGGGTGTTACATTTCTAGGGCTGTCCTAAGCATCCACAATTATCCACTGTTGGAGAGTCCATTCCAACTCAGAGAACCCTATATGGTGGAATAGAATTGCCCCATAGGGTGTCTAAGACAGTAAATCTTTACAGAGGCAGATATCTTTGGGCTGCTTTGTCCAGTAGAGGGACTATTGGGTTTGATCCACCATCCTTTTGGTTAGCAGTCAAGTTCATAACGGCTTTGCAACCAAGGCTCTTGGTACTTCACAAAGAGTAACCTTATTTAATCCTCATAACAATCCTATGTAGTAGGTGCTTTTGTCATGCCCACGTAGAAGAAGGAAACTGAGGCACGGCCAAGTGAAATGACTTGGTCACGCATGCAAAGCAGGTACAGGATTTGACCTGAGCAGTCTGGTTTCAAATCCCATTCTTTCTTGACCATCATATTAACCTGCTTTTATCCGCTTTTTACCAGCCTTCCAGATCAGTGTTTTTTATACCATGACTTGTGACCATGGTATAAGTCGGTCATGAAATCAATTGGGATGGTCCTTTGTAGCATTAATAAAAATAGAAGAGGATATAAACATTAATAAGGTTGTCATTTCGTGAAGCATTTGTTTTACATCCTCTCTCTCTTTCACCCTGTACTGCAATTCAAAACTTTGAAAGCCGCCACCCTAGAGTCAGACCTAGAATATAGAGAAACCAGAGTACTGGCTGTGGGTGTTTGGGAGGCTGATAATTTCACTTGGCATAGAAACAGTTTGAGTAGGAGAGACGCAACTTAACACTGTGGGAGAAGAGTCTCTGTCTCTCTCACACACAGAAATATGCTCATAGCAACCTCCTAACTGTTTCCCCATTTGGCAATTCCACCGTGAGTAGGTGTGCAGAACTTGGTCAAAGCCTTCTTGCGTGAGGGAAAATCAAAGTTGTTCAGGCTCTCCAGTATTCTCAATGTGTCCTTGGGACCACTTGTATCAGAATAAAGAATCAAGAATATTTGTTAATAATAGAGATTCCTGGGGTCCCACAACAGACTTACTGAGTGGGAGTCACTGGGGGAAAGTCCAGGAATCTATATATCAACAAGCATATCGGAACACAACAGTCTGAGAACTATAGACTCCTACCAAAGCATCCTCACTTTACTCTAAAACAGAGACCAACACATAGCCTCCTACTAGCCCTTAGCATACATGGAAGTATGTGAGACTCCCTAATCCAGGAGAGATAGCCCATTCAAGAATTCAAGGGTGGGATGGCCTTAGGATCACCCAGATCAGGGCTCTGCCTTCTTGGGCTCTAAGGACCTCTTTCAGAACCTGGTGAAAACTATGAGCTCACTACATGGCAAAATGCAGCTATGTTTATACCAGGAAAGTTTCCCCCACAGGCAAGGTCCCTAAATTTCCAAGTCAAAATGTCAAGTTTCTTCCTTCTTAGCAAACAGGGTATTGTACTGGGCATATATACTTTCCCCCTTCCTTCCTAGCTCTGTCCTAAAAACTGACTGCCATGGAAGGCACTAGTTAAGAGACTGAAGGAGCGAGTAGAGCGAGGGCTCTCCTCGAGATCAGTGGTTCTCAGCCTGTGGGTCACGACCCCTTGGGGGGGGATCGAATGACCTTTTCACAAGGGTTGCCTGATTCATAACAGTATCAAAATGACAGTTATGAAGTAGCAATGAAAATAATTTTACGGTTGGGGGTCGCCACAACATAAGGAACTGTATGAAAGGGTCGCAGCATTAGGAAGGTTGAGAAGCACTGCTCTACATCCACCCTTCCAGGTTTCAGCAGCCACAGTTCCTGTCACGTAGCACCCTCCTTATCTTCCTATCAGCACTCAAACCCCCAATCCATTTCTTCCCCTTCCTCCCCACCCCCAGAAGAGCCCCTGGGCCTCACGCTGTCCTTCTGTGCTTATCCCAGCTCCTGCCCTCACCTTTGCCACCAGACCTTTTGTCAAAGTCTTCCCAAATGATCCAGTCTAAGTGTGTTATGTTCCTGATCTATTTATAGTATATTATACAGTATCTTAATTATATGCATGCATATATCTATCAACACATGAAATTATGGAGTCCCTGGAGATGTATGTGTGTAATATATATACAAGTATGTATATATATATATACATAATTATGAAGTCCCTACATGGTGCAAATGGAAGTTAACATGCTCAGCTGCTATCTCAAAGGTTAGAGGCTCGAGTCCATCCAGAAGTGCCTCAGAAGAAAGGCCTGGCAGACTACTTCTGAAAAATCAGCCTTTGAAAATCCTTCAAGCACAATTCTACTTGACACACCTTGAGCCCGAATGGAATCCACAACACATGGTTGGGCATATCTGTGTTGTCATTAGGTGCCACTGACTTGGTTGTGACTCACAGTGACCCTACGTACAACAGAGTATTTACCGGTCCTGTGCCATCTTTATGTTTGAACCCATTGTTGTAGCCTTTGTGTAAATCCATCTTATCAAGGGTCTTCCTCTACTTTATCAAGCATGATGTCCTTTTCCACAGACTAGTCTCTCCTGATAACATGTCCAAAGTACGTAAGCTGAAGTCTCACCATCTTTGCTTTAAAGAAGCATCCTTCTTCCAACACTGGAACTTTCAATATTCTTTACCAGTACCATAATTAAAATGAATAAAGTCTTCCTAGGTCTTCCTCATTCAATACCCAACTTTCATATTCATATTAGGTGACCGAAAATACCATGACTTTGGTCAGGCACACCTTAATCCTCAAAGTGACACTCTTGATCTTCAACACTTCATAGATTTACCCAAAGCAAAGCGTCCTTGGATCTTTTTACTGCTGCTTTCACAAGTATTGATTGTGGATCCAAGCAAAATGAAATCCTTGACAACTTCAACCCTTTCTCCATTTATCATGATGTTACTTATTGATTCAGTTGTGAGAATTGTGGCCTTCTTTACACTGTGTTGTAATCCATACTGAAGGTTGCGATCCTTGATCTTCATCGAAGGCTTCAAGTCCTCAACAAGCAAGGTTGTGTCATGTGCATATCCCAAGTAGTTAATAAGCTTTCCTCTAATCTGGATACCCAATTATTCGTAAAATCCAGTTTCTCTGATAATTTGCTCAACATACAGATTGAATGTATGGTGAGAAGAGGGCAGCTTGACACACACTATGTAATGCCCTTGTTCTGCTCACACAATTGCCTCTTCATCCAAGTACAATCTCCACATGAGCACAATTGCTTCTGAAATACCCATTCTTCTCAAAGATATGCATAGTTTGTTATCCACACAGTCAAAGGCCTTTGCATAGTCAATAAAACAGTGTTTTGGTTTTTGCTGCTTTGAGCCAGGATCCATCTCCTGTCAACAATGATACTGTTCCATATTCTCTTATGAATCTGACCTGAACCCTTGGCAGCTCCCTGTTAATGGATCCCTGCAACCGTTGTTAAATGATCTTCAGCAAAATTTTACTTGCTTATCAAGTGACATTGCTCTATAATTTGCATATTCTGTTGGCTCACCTTTCTTTGGAATGGATACAAATATGGATCGCTTCCAGGCAGTTGGACAGGTAGTCATCTTCCAGATTTCTTGGTGTAGGTGAGTAGAGTGCTTCCAGTGCTTTATCAGCTTGTTAAAAACACTTCCATTGGTTTTCCCTCAAGTCCTGGAGTCTTACTTTTGGCTAATGCCTTCAATGCAACTTTCAGTATCATTGGTTCTTGATCATATGCTCTATCTTGAAATGGCTGAATGCCTAGTGATTCTGTAGTCTTTCCATCTTCTTTTGATGGAAAAGAATCATTTAATATTTTTACCATAGAATCTTCCAATACTGCAACTCAAGGCTTACATTTTTTTCTTCGGTGCTTTCAATGTAAGAGATGCTGAGCACGTTCTTCCTCCTGGGTAAGCTCACGCTAGGTCTTTGTACATTTCATTATATTATTTTATTTTCTCTTCCAGAGCTTCGCTTTTCTGTTCAGCTCTTTGCCTCATCATTTCTTTCATTTGCCTTAGCTATTCTATGATTAAGAACAAGTTCCACAGTCGCTTCTGACATCCACTTTGATCTTTTTTTTTTGTTTCCAGTCTTTTTGATGACCTTTGGCTTTCTTCCAAAGGTATGATATTCTTGATGTCCTCCCATAGCTCTTCTGTAATGTTCAAAGCATCAAATATTTCCTTAAGAGGTTCTCTAAATTCAGGTGGGATACACTCAAAGTCACAGGCTCTGAAGCATCCGTTTTCATTTTCTCAGCTTCAACCTGAACTTACATTGAAGAAATTGATAGTCTGTTCCACAGAGAGTCCCTTGCCCCCTGGCTTTAGCTACTGACAGTGAGCTTCCCTCGTCCCTTCTTACATATTTATTCAATTTTATTTCTGTTTATTCCATCTAAAGAAGTCCACATTTAGTCGCAGTTTGTGCTATTGGAAAAAAAGGTATTGGGGATGAAGAAATTGCTGGTTTTGCAAGATTATATCATGAAATCTCCAGCTTCATTTCTATCATCAAGGCCATATTTTCCAATTACTATTCCTTCCTGTTTTCAGCTTTTGAATTTTAGTTGCCAATAATGATCAATGCATCTTGTTTGCTTATTTGAACAACTTCAGACTAGATATTCTTCAATTTCTTCATCACTAGCTTTTATGGCTAGTGCATAGATTTGAATAGTAATTGTACTGATTTGATTTCCTTGTGTGTGGATAGAGATTATCCTATCACAGGCAGCATTGTACTTCAAAGATAGATCTTGAAAGGTCCGTCTTGACATCGGTCCTCTTGAATTTGTCATTTCTAACATAGTTAATTATATGACTGTCCGAATCAAATGGCCAATAGCAGTCCTGCTGATGCTTCAGATATCGATCTTTATGTGTTCCATTTTTTGATGACTTCCAATTTTCCTGGATTCATACATAGTATATTTCAAGTTCCAATAACTAATAGATATTTGCAGCTATTTCTTCTCATTTTGAGTCATGTCCCATTAATATATGCAGGTCTCAAAGGCTTTATTCTATCTATGTCATTATATTAACGGTGACACTACTTTGAGGTTGCTCTTTCTCTGTCATCTTTCATGGGCCCTCAAACCTGAGTGGCTCACTTCTGTCACTGCAGGGGACAATGTCCTGCTGCTTTTCATGAGGTTTTTAATATCTGATCAATGTTCCACTGCTATTCGTAAGGCTTCCAGTATCTAATTCCTCTAAAGCGGACAGCCTGTTGCTTCTCTGTAGTCTGTTCTTAGTCTGCAAATTCTGCTGAAACCTGTTCATTTTGGGTGAGCCTTCCAGCATTTGAAATACCAGTGACATATCTTTCAGAAAGACACAAGCTGCCACAGTACAACAGACTGAGGGACGAGTGGTGATATATATGACTGGCTTAGTAAAGTAGAGGGCCCATGAAAAAGAGAAAGGTCCTTGCAAGATAGATTGACACAGTGGCTGCAGCAATGGGCACGCGAATAACAGTTGTAAGGATGGCACAGCACCAGGCAGTGCTTCATCCCGCCATACACAGGGTCACTAGGAGTTTAAGGAAGTGTGATGGCACACAACAAGAATGCTGCTATTACATTATACTTATAAAGTTTTGACTGTGCCTTCTGTTTAAAGAATAATGGTTTCCAGTATATGCCCATATGTTTGCTTCTTGGAGCAAAAGAACCCTGCAGCTTTGTCCCTCAAAAAAACCATGTGCCATCCTAATATAGTCAAGAAGATTGTTTCTTGTTTAGGGTCAAATAGAGCAGCCGGGAGGACACCAAAAGCCCTGGGACGTTGTGAGTAGAATTACAGAGGGCATTAAGAGTGAACAGGGGGCAACTCACTCAAGCCCCCAACTGCTGCATTGGGTGCTTTTCTTTCTACATAAACTCTGCTTTCTGCCTAAAAACATAAAAAAGAGTGAGCAGGAAATCGGCTTTCTGGACTGGTAGGGAAGTTGGGAAGCTGGGTGTGTTCTCTGCCCGCCCACCAAGACATGCTTGGACACAGCTATTCCATAGGGTGAAAGCGCTTTCGAAAGAAAGCTTCCCACCACATTCATTTCTGGCCATGTATTACGTAGAGATTCAAAGGTCAAACTACATTCTGCAGCTGCTCTCTCTTAGTGTCCTGATATTCCAATCATGTTGGATTTTAAAGCTTCTGATAAAGCACAAGTCGCTCCTGACCGGAGTTCTGATTCTAATACAGTCACATGTAACACAAAACTGGAGATACAAGCCCAGGCACCTGTGTGGCCTGGGGCACCTGCAGGTGATCTCTACATCTGCCACTTGGTAACAAGCAGGGTCGGTTGTCTATCAAAGTAAAAAAATAAGGAGGCGAGGGTCAGTGTGCAGGCAGACAGTGCGGAACTACAGATCTGAAAGTCGAGAGGATGTGGCTGGTAGTTGGAGATCTACAGCAGGCCAGAGTCTCAGAGCAGACTGGAGTTCTGAGGCAGGCGGGAGACCCATGATCAAGGAGAAATCCAAAGCAGGCTGGAGACCTGGAGCAAATCTTCCAACCCTAAACATCAGAATGACAGTACTGAGGGTACTGGAAAGGAAATGGGGGGGCAAGGAAGGGGAACTGATAGCATGGATAACACTATAACCCCACTCAAGGGGAGTGAGCAACAGAATTAAATGTGAAAGAAGACATGTACGATATGGCATAAATAAATGAATGAATGAATGAATAAATAAATAAGGGTTCCTGGGGGTTTGGGTGGGGAGGGAGGGAATAAAGGGGAGTTGATATCAAGGAGTGCAAGAAGAAAGTGTTTTGAAACTGATTGCGGTAGCAATTATCCAGTACTACTTGATATGATTGAACTATGAAATGTTATGACATCTGTAAGAGCTCCCAATAAAATGACTAAAAAAAAACAAAAAAACAACTGTACATACAAATTCAAGGTTTTCACAAAGTCCCTGAAGCCTACTCACAGACCACAGGTGCCTTGGGGGGAGAAATTAGATTGTAACCATAAAGATGTGAATTTTGAATCCTGGCTCTACTCTTTGCCCTATAGTCCTGGGACAATCAACATACCTCTCTGACATTCATATTGAAGATACTCATTACAGTCAATTCTGACTCATAATGACTTCTTTGTGGTACAAAGAAAACCTCCAGTTTTCTTGTCAACTCTAGAAAAATCGATCACCAGCCCTTTCTTCTGCAGCACGAGGTGGGTTCGCACTGCCAATCATGAAGTTAATAGTCAGGATAGAAGGGGGGTCTTAAAAAGAACTTTATTATAGAACCTTACCCCATCTACTCTACAGCCTGATCTAGCCCCTTCAGGCTTCTTTTGCTCCCAAAACTCTGAGAAGATTTTAAAAGCTCATAATTTAAATTCCCTTAAGGATGCCAGAAGAGCTATTTTGAAGTGGTATAAATCAAAGAGCACAGAGTTTCTTGGTCAAAGGTTAGAGAACTAGAAACACTGTCTTCAGAAGTTTATAGACCTAGATGGAGGATATGTTGACAAACAAAAGCTTCACATTTTGATATTTCTGTTTAATAAAGATTACTAAAAAAAAAATTTAGCTGTATTTTTTTACTCACCCTTATAATACTCTACCACCTGTCTGTTGGTCTGCCCCACTGTGGTAATGCTATGTTGTATGTTGTGATGCTGCTGGAAGCTTTCAATACCAGTAGAGTCACCCATGTTGAACAGGTCTTAGTGGAGCTTCTAGACTAAGACAGACTAGGAAGAAAGGCCTGAAACTGTACTTCTAAAAATTAGCCAACGTAAACCCTATGGATTCCAGAGGAATATTGTCTAACTTGAATGTTGTGGAATTTAATCAGGAGGGATTAATCACTAAAGAAGGACATCATGTTAGAGAGGGCCAGCAAAGGTAAGGGAGACACCCCATGAGATGGATTGTTGCAAGAGCTACGATGACAATATCAAACATGGTAGTGATCACCAAGATGAACTAAGAGCAGGAGTGATGCTTCTTTCTTTTGTACATAAGGTTATGGTTTGAAAGCAACTTGATGGAAGCTAACAACAACATCAATAAGGTATTATCAAATCGATGGCAATGAATGACAAGGAGAACATGGGGAACACGAAGGTGGAGCCAGGAAAGGAACCAGCCAGGGTTTCTGAGAAAGGGTGTTAGAGCTGTGTGAAGCTGTGCTGTCTCCTAGACCCCAGCTCAGTGCCCCATGCCCCAGTGGCAGCACCCAGCAACACTCACTAGAGAGCCTTGCAGACCCTGAGACAAGGCAGCAGCTGCTCCACACCAATGTCACCCACGGAGTTGTGATCCAGCTGCAGGGCCACAGGCCGTCGCAGATGCCGCAGCACAAAGGCCAGGGCTGCACACTCAGTGGGGCCCACACTGCAAAAAGTCAACTTGAGGTGCTCAATATCCAGTCTGTGCACAGCCTCCTGGGCCAGCCGTTCCTCTTGCATCTCATACAGGCTCCGGATGAGCCAGAGGAAGCTGGGCATGGCATGCATGCTCTTAGCCTCACCTGGCACAGCGGGAGGGATGGAGTGGAAGTGTCTGCGGAGGCTGCGGGCCAGACAGCACCGGGCAGAGGTGTGGCGCTGCAGCAAGGCCTTCTGAGACAGCTGGCACTCTGCCAGCAGGCCCCAGTGCTCCCTGGACAGTAGCCCGGCCAAGAAGGCCGCCATGATCTGGAGGTTGTGGGGCTCAGCCTTCTGCAGCAAAGTCACCACACCGTTCTCCTTGCATTCCGTGCTCTGGATGCACAGGATGGGCAGCAGCCTGGCCAGTTTGGAGCCACCTGGCCCCTTGCAATTGAAGAGATGCCTGAGCATGGTGGGTGGAAAGTCTGGACTTAGCACCAGGTAAAATGCAGCAAAAAAGCACTGGAAAGTGATGTGCAGGAATTCCAGAGATGGAGAACTCCCTGGCACAATGCTTTTGGCCCGCACCAGGAAGCCCAAAGAAAGGTCCTCGGTGCCCACTTGTGCTGCTTGGAGCTGTGTGGCTGAGAACACATAGCAGCATGTGCCCAGGCCCCAGAGAGCCAAGTGACCGAGGTGCAGGAGTGTGGGCAGCCTGTCTCGAAGCAGACTGGGGTCCTGGCTGAGGGCTGCTGAGTCTGGTGGAGAGGCATGCCGCAGAAAATGCTGCAGGATCAGCAGGTACATATCAGTGGTGGTCCTCAGGGACCCCCCACCCAGTAGCAACAGCTCCTGGTGACATTTAGACACGATCCAGGAGAAGACGGGAAGGCGACACAAACCGTGCAAGGCTGAGGTTGTTTTGAGTAGGTGGACAAGCCGGTCTGCGAGCCCCGGCTCCTGATGGTGCTTCCGCATGAACAGTTCAATGCCCTCCTCGGAGAAGCCCTTGAGATGGAGCTCGGCGCAAATGTACTTCCTAAGGCATGCTGTCACTGCATCGGGGCGGCTCGTCAGAACCTTGCGGGCATTCTTGAGCAGGTTCCCCTGCAGAAGGTTGAAGAGCAGATTCTGAACGGACGTGGGCTCTGTTGGAGAGCAGTGACGCTCACGATCAGTGAACCTGAACCTGAATTCATCAAAGCCGTCAAAGGTTAGGAGCACACGGTCAGGGTGGTCAAGGAGGTACTGGAAGACATCCTGTTGGCCGACGTCCGGCCAGCAGCAGTGCTCAAAGAGCAGCATCTGCACCGAGAGTGGCTTTCCCACACATTGCAGCTGCCGGCAGCTCAATGGGAAGACGAAGAGATACTCTTGAAAGGCCCGGCCTGCAGCCCACAGGAAGTGCAGCTGCTGCAGGAGCGTGCTCTTGCCACTGCCTGCCTCACCCACCACCAAAACAGTGTCTGCATCGTCATTGAAATGGCACTGGCGGCTGAAGAGGTCCTCGAGGCCCACGGTGGCTGGGCTCTGCGGTAGGCCTCCGGTCATGCCAACATCGCTCTGCAGCTCCAGGAGGTTCTCTGTGTATATGTCTTCTAGGCAAAGGTTTTCCACCCCATCGTAGGTACTCAGGAAGCGAGACTGGGCGGAGACTGTGGTCTTCAGCTTGGACATGTACTTCTCACAAGCAGCATCTGGAAGAGCGGAAAAGGAACATGAGGAGTCTGTGTAGGAAACGGAACCCAACTAGAGAGTGGGCTGTTGCGGTACACAGGTGCTAGTCCTGGCTCTTCTCCTCACAACCTGGGGGATTCAGGGGCCAGTCATATATCCTTTTCAGGTCTGTTTGCTCACCTGTAGAATGAGAGAAATGATGGCCTCTACCTCATAGGGCTTTTACATGGATCAACTAAGACAATGGGTATTAAGTGCTGAATCTCTCAGTGGTATAAATGGTTAATATGCTCTACTGCTAACCAAAAAGTTGGAGGTTCAAGTCTATCCAGAAGGACCTGGGAAGAAAGGCCTGGTGATCTACTTCTGAAAAATCAGTCATTGAAAATTCTGTGGATGGAGCCAGACTTCAACCCGGTGCTCCAAGATGTGAATGCAACATGCCCACATGGAGTAGGGAACCAGTGGAGAGGTCTGAGGGCCAGGCCCCAATCCCAACTACGTGGACACCTGCCCTTCCCCCCAGAAGAATTTATTTCAGAGGACAGCACTGAAGCTGCAGCTCAGGGAGAGGGACATGT